ACCTCCGGCAGAACCAGGCTCAGGGAGGGGCGGGGCCATCTGCTGCGACCGGTTGGTAATGGTCCCTGGGCTGATGTCTTGACTTTTGTCATTTCTGTATTTGTTTTTGGTTGCGAAGTGGATATTTTTAACAGTATTATTATTATTATTCCATCCATTCGCTTCCTCTTATCCTTTTCAGGGTCGCGGGTGGCGCTGGAGCCTATCTCAGCTGTCATAGGGCGAAAGGCGGGGTACACCCTGGACAGGTCGCCAGTCTGTCGCAGGGCTAACACATAGGGACAGACAACCATTCACACTCGCATATTCACACCTAGTGACAATTTGGATTAATCAATTAACCTATCCCCACAAGATGGGGATAGGTTGTTATTATTATTATTATTATTATTATTATTATTATTATTATTATTATTATTATTATTATTAGTAGTAGTAGTAGTAGTAGTAGTAGTAGTAGTACTATTAGTATTGTTGTTCTTGTTATCATTATTATTAGCCGGCTAATTAGCTTCTCAGCGTTTATCACAGGCCGCTTGATTGTGCGGTGCTTGCCTTTATTTAGATTTTCAACATATCATATTTTCCACTTTTTCTGTTCCATTTTTTCCCACACCGTTTGCCCAGCACACACAGTTGTGACACAGAATGGTTACAAAATTGTTACAAAAATCACAGTTTTTAAAACACATCCATACCATTTGTGGTTATAGTCACAGTGCAACCCACTTCTCACATAGAGATAACAGAGACATAAGTGTACTCTCCTGTGGCTCCCTTACTTATGTCATTATAATTCTGCAATTTGTTGGAATTTCCTCTCTGTCTCATTTTGACAGACCATAGTCCCGTCCCTGCTCTGCCATTTAATTAGGCATATCTGTTTTTGCTCTATAGCACTAAACTATTTACAGTACCTATAATCTTTTAGTCCCACCGACTGCAAGCCAAAGACAGAAACCGGCAGTAGCAACAATTCCAGAAACTTCAGTCTTGTTGAATTAGTTATGTTCCTTCTCTACCCAGCATTAACTATGTATTTTTGTATCAGATATATGACTTTAAAGTGAGGAAAAATCTGTATTTCATTGATGGATTATATATATTTAAATGTCAAGGAATAAAAGTCATCCTGAAAGTCATCCTGATAATGTGAGTAAGGTAAACATTGCTCTTACTTGTCTCAGGACTGCTTCCAGCTGAACCAGTGTGTAAAGTCTGCAATATGACAAGTTTGTCTTGAACGGGGAAGTCGTGCTAGCTTACTTTACTAACCCCACCCTGTACTCATTGGTGTTCACATTTACAAAAGCCCAAACATGAAATCAGGAACAGCAGGACGCATTTTAATTCAAACTGTCTGCACAGCTAAGCATCATCCCTCCAGCTCTGTTGACTGTAGTCAATGTCTGTCCTTCTCAAAGGGACATGCAATTTCGTTTCAACATAAACAGTCTTTTTTTCTTCTTCTTCCCCTGTACAGATGTTGCCTAAATCACAACACAGCTACAACAAACGATCAACATTTAACAAACTTTGTGACAGCAAACATGGTGCAAGCTGCTATTATTTTCAGACATCCTCCTCTTAACACACAGGGACAGACAACCATTCACACTCGCATATTCACACCTAGTGACAATTTGGATTAATCAATTAACCTATCCCCACAAGATGGGGATAGGTTGTTATTATTATTATTATTATTATTATTATTATTATTATTATTATTATTAGTAGTAGTAGTAGTAGTAGTAGTAGTAGTAGTACTATTAGTATTGTTGTTCTTGTTATCATTATTATTAGCCGGCTAATTAGCTTCTCAGCGTTTTTCACAGGCCGCTTGATTGTGCGGTGCTTGCCTTTATTTAGATTTTCAACATATCATATTTTCCACTTTTTCTGTTCCATTTTTTCCCACACCGTTTGCCCAGCACACACAGTTGTGACACAGAATGGTTACAAAATTGTTACAAAAATCACAGTTTTTAAAACACATCCATACCATTTGTGGTTATAGTCACAGTGCAACCCACTTCTCACATAGAGATAACAGAGACATAAGTGTACTCTCCTGTGGCTCCCTTACTTATGTCATTATAATTCTGCAATTTGTTGGAATTTCCTCTCTGTCTCATTTTGACAGACCATAGTCCCGTCCCTGCTCTGCCATTTAATTAGGCATATCTGTTTTTGCTCTATAGCACTAAACTATTTACAGTACCTATAATCTTTTAGTCCCACCGACTGCAAGCCAAAGACAGAAACCGGCAGTAGCAACAATTCCAGAAACTTCAGTCTTGTTGAATTAGTTATGTTCCTTCTCTACCCAGCATTAACTATGTATTTTTGTATCAGATATATGACTTTAAAGTGAGGAAAAATCTGTATTTCATTGATGGATTATATATATTTAAATGTCAAGGAATAAAAGTCATCCTGAAAGTCATCCTGATAATGTGAGTAAGGTAAACATTGCTCTTACTTGTCTCAGGACTGCTTCCAGCTGAACCAGTGTGTAAAGTCTGCAATATGACAAGTTTGTCTTGAACGGGGAAGTCGTGCTAGCTTACTTTACTAACCCCACCCTGTACTCATTGGTGTTCACATTTACAAAAGCCCAAACATGAAATCAGGAACAGCAGGACGCATTTTAATTCAAACTGTCTGCACAGCTAAGCATCATCCCTCCAGCTCTGTTGACTGTAGTCAATGTCTGTCCTTCTCAAAGGGACATGCAATTTCGTTTCAACATAAACAGTCTTTTTTTCTTCTTCTTCCCCTGTACAGGTGTTGCCTAAATCACAACACAGCTACAACAAACGATCAACATTTAACAAACTTTGTGACAGCAAACATGGTGCAAGCTGCTATTATTTCAGAGTGTCAGCAGTGAACATGTCAAAGCTGAGAGGTAGGTGATGGCTTATTCCACATCAAGAAGCTCTGATGTCTTGTTATACAACCACCAGTATGTGCACACATGCTAGAGCGAATTGCTGAATAGTATCTTTATAACAGGGTCACAGAGGGAGGCAAAAATAACACAGTGAGCTCATCACTAAAATCATGGTTGGGACAACAGTAGATCACAACAGTCAGAATCTGCTGCTCTTTGCACCAGTGAATAAATACAAAAAACCAAATGCTGGTCACATTATAGCAGGATTTATTCAAATATCCATTTAAATGAATGATGGATACATTTAAATCTTTATTTCAGTTTTGAAGTCCTGAATGATTGATGAGGTTTCTGTGACTTTACCACCTTTCATGTAGAACTGAATTTGTATTTCTGTCAGAATGAGCACAGAGTCTGCCAGGGTTGGAGAATTCTGATAAAAACAAAATAACACAGATATACACAGTATATACTTGTTTATTATCAAGTGTAGTTGGCAGCGGCTTTATGAATTAAAAAAAAACTTTATGAGCCCCTTACAGACTGAATCTTCCTGTTTCCACCACATTAAAACCCACAGACAGCAGATGTGAGTAGTTGAAGTGGCAGCGTGTTTCTTTAATTTGTCACTCATCTGTGTTTCTCCTGCAGAGAAAAGAAGGCTGATGCAGTGTGACACCTGCTGTTCACTTGTTGTAACTGCTTCTGGTAATCTTCCGGTTTCTTCTGACTGTCAACTTTCTAAATACTGGAGAACAAATTTTTCTGACGTTCTAATGAATGTTTATCAGTCCCTCTTCACAGCTACAACGTGCTAAGTTCAAATTTCCCTTTGTTCTCCTTGTAAATTAGTCATAGGTGCAGTGTGAGCACCAGGAAGCAGAGTTGCAGTCTTACATGCCTCTCTGCAGCTTTTCTGCCCCTGTTATCTCCCCCAAACCCCATCCTCAGCTCAGATAAAATAATTGTTGTGGCTGATTGTAACATGTAGATGCTAAAACGAAAGCCTCAACACGGCATTTAATCTGTTTTTAGACTCAATCGGTTTCTTTCAAAAATGCAAAAGAACTCAACCTCTGTACCAACACAGAGCAGAGAGAGCAACCTGAACGCTACTCCAACAGAGGTCGATTATCTTCTTAATAATTTTGCCTCCTCACAACGTACGACTCTGGATACTGTAGCTCCTGTGAAAATAGAGCTTCAAATCAGAAGTACCTGACTCCGTGGTATAATTCTCAAACACGTACCCTAAAGCAGATTACTCGTAAGCTGGAGAGGAAATGGCGTGTCACAAATTTAGAAGATCAACATTTAGCCTGGAGAAATAGTTTGTTGCTTTATAAGCAAGCCCTCGGTGAAGCTAGAACATCTTACCATTCATCACTGATTGAAGAAAATAAGAAAGAAATTCAAATTTTATTTGTCACATACACAGTACAACATGTAGTGAGATGCTTGTGTCCGAGCTGCGGACAGACTGGAGACGTAGCCGCACCATTCCAGTGCTTGGTTTTAGCAAGGGAGTCTAGCCAGGACCCTTACTGGATACCGGGTGGGACTCAAACTTGCGATTCCCGCTACAAAGTCTTTTTCTCTAATTTA